CCCCCCCCCCCCCCCCCCTCCCCAATGAACTGGCATGACACAACAGATGCTGCGTATCGTACCCGCCGACGTCGAGTCCGGAGACGAGTGGGGTTCCGACGCGGAAGCGGACGCCCGCGACTACGGGCGATTCCGCCGCATCGCCGGGGCTGACCCGGAAACGATCCAGGTACGTATCAATAGGTACACACGTGTACAAACCCACGCACCACGCTCGTTGTGTCACACATCCACGCTCACCCGGTGTTGACAACACCGGGCCGTGTCGCACATCACACATACCCCTTGTATGGATAACAGCGGTCGTATGCATGCAATACGGGCGTCGTGTCCGCTATGACGCACGCCTAAACAAGAAAAGAGTAGTGTGAGGAAAACAGCCCCGCATTTTGTGAATTTAGTTTCACAGATTGTCACACGCACACCCTGGTGGACAAGAGCCCCACAGCAACGATAACAAGGTCGTCACGTCCACTTGGACGCACGCCCAATTTGAATTTTATGGAACCACAGGCCCGAATCGTGGTGCTTACCCGTTGCTCACGGTGCTCTGTAAGGCTTGCACCCGAACTCACGCACCGTTGTTTTGGGCGTGTGTTGTGCACAACACGCGCTTGCCGTCCTGCTGTGCTGGAACACGGAGAATATCGGTTCTCTGGTCTCGACGAAGCTGTACAAGTGCTATGTTTCGCACGGCTTCGTGCCCTCGGTCCCCGGTTGGGTTGGTTGGTTGTTATTCCAGAGCAGAAGAAGGGCTCGATACGAGGGTAGAGGAGCGTTTTTTTTTACTTTGTGCAGCATGCTACATTATCGTCAACAACACAATACCAACAGCAACGACCACAACCGCAACCTACCACAACAAACAACATTTAACAGTGATAGCCTGCCGCAACCAACAATGCAATAAACTCTTTCCGCTCGCTCTTTTTTTGCGTCGCCGACCCTCAGAATGCCCTCAAGCTGTACCCCCCGCGCAACCCGGAGACACGCGCCCGCATCTACGACGGCCTCGGCTTGGAACTCCCTGGCGATGTCAGCCGGGGCCGAAGCAGCAGCACCGGCGGCGGCGGCGGCGGCGACAACGGTGGTGGTAACGGCCGAATTGCAGGAGCGGCGGGGAGTTCGATATCCTCTGGAGGCGTTGGCGGAATTCGGGGCGGTGGGTCCGGCAGCGGCGGCGGCGGCGGCGGTGTCAATCGCGGCGGTAGGGGGAGCGGCGGCGGCGGCGGCGGAAAGGACGGGGTCGACGGCGACGGGGTCAGGGCGGGGGCGGGAGCGGCGGCGAAGGGCGGCGGCGGGGGCGGCAGCACCGCAGTGCCCCCGCGCCTGCCGACGTACAGCACGACCGGCACCCAGCCGCCGCGGTTCGGGAAGCAGGACAAGGCGTTGCTCGCGACTCACGGCGCGAAGCAACCCAAGGGCAAGCACCCCGGGTACATCATCACGCTCTACGGGAAGAAGGTGCGCGGCGTGGTTGGTTGGTTTTCCCAAGGCTAGGCTTCAGGCTAGGTTAGGAGGTTGGATTTGGTTTTTGCTCGCCTGTGGGTTAGGTGTGCTTTTCGGGGTATGCTTGGGGTCGCAAGGTTTAGTTGTGCCTCTGTGTGGCGAGAGTTTTTTCTAGGAAAGAGGCGTGCGCATGCTTCTTTCTGACGACGACGACGACGGTGAGCGACAATCGCTTCGTGACGGATTGTGCTTTTTCTGGAATATTGTAGGGTATCTGTTTGCTTTGCGTGTATGTTTTTTTGTGTTGTGCCGCTCCTAATACTACTACCACTACTACTACTACTACTACTACTGTAATACTGCTACTACTACTGTAATACTACTACTGTACTGCTGCTACTTCTACTACTACTACTACTACTGCCACTCCCGCAGCTCGAATACATACACCACACTCCGAGCCCCAAACAGCTGGACCAGGACCACGACAGGGTAGTACCACCGTCTGTCTTGTTGGTGCAAACAAACAAAATGCCGTTTATTAACGTACAGCAGTCAGTCCTTGAGTGTTCGTCAATCTCCCCTCCTCACTTGTCCCTACCCCGCGCGAAACGCACAAAGCAGGTCCGGCGTTGCGGGGAGTGCGCCCCCTGCCGATCGGCGGACTGCGGGCAGTGCCGCTACTGCGTGGACATGCCCAAGCACGGCGGCAGGGGGTCGTACAAGCAGCCTTGCGAGGCTCGAAAGTGTGCCTGGGTCGAGTTCGACCGGTGGGTGTCCCCGAGAAGGTTTCCAAGTGGACGGGGCGGGGGAGGTACTCATAGTCGTGCATGCCGTATTCGTTAGACCATTGACCTCGCATCCCTACAAAGTCGGGACGGAGCACGCCGGGTTCTCACCGGACCAGGCTCTCACATCTCCAAGCGCGAAACACCGTGAGGTATTCGGCGAGTCGCATACCGATGTATACGCAAGCCGTCTTCGTTAGACGATGGACCTCGCATGCCGGGACGGAGCGCGATATGGATGCCGGTTTCTCGCCGGCCTATGCTACGTTTCACGAGGATGAACGGAGGGAGGGGGAGGTTATGGGTTCCGCCTTGTTTTTGAGCGTGCTCTTTGTCGTCGTCGTCGTCGTCGTCGTCGTCGTTGTCCTCGTCGTTGTCGTTGTTATTGTTGTTGTTGTTCGGCCCGAGCGCTACGTAGGTATATTGGTCAAACCGTTAGAGTTTAGTTTTGTTGTGGGCATGATAGTTGTGGCGGCGGTGTTGATTGTTGCCGTTGTTCTCGCTACGTGAATCCCGGCGTTGGAGCCAGGTCCAGAAACCGCTTCCATGGGCTTTGCAGGGCGACGGCATAGGCAGCCTTCTCTCATCCACCCCTCACACCAGCAAGCGAAGAAAAATGAACACCTCCGTCGCTGTCGTTGCTTTTGTTCGAGGGCATCCACTCGTCACGCCGCAGATAGATGCGGTGTTCTTCCTTCTACAGCGGTGCAGTTTTTGGCATTGTGTGTCCCGCTTTTTACTGCTCCGTACTGTCTTTCGTCTCTTGTCAGCACCGAGTTTAAGGCGGTCACGTCTTACTTTGAGCGTAAAGGACCAACGCAAGCAAACAACCCCCTCACCCTCCCCCCCCGCGCGCGCTTTCCCTCGCCTCGCAGCAAAGCGAAGACGGTGATCACGCAGCTGTCTAGCGAGCAGCAGCAGCGCAGCGGCGGCGGCGGCGGCACCCCCGGGAGGAGCTTGACATCGCCGAGGGGAAGGGGCCGACGCGGGGGTTCCGTGGCGGCAACCAGCGGCGGCCGGGGGGGGGGTACCGGCAGCGGAGNCCGCGGAGCGGGAGGGGGGGGACGAAAGCGAAGCTTCTCCTCTCCGTCTTCGGCGTCCTCCCGGAGCCCCCGGGTCGACGGGGGGAGGGGCTCGCCTGGAAGCTTCCGCGCCGCGGGGCCCCAGGCCGGTGTCGGGAAGGGGAAGTGGAGGGGCCGAGGCGGGGGCGGGGTGGGATCGGCGGCGACGCGGGTGGCCTCTAGGAAGACAGCGAGCTACTCGAGGGCACGGAAGTGAGTGTGCTGCCGATGGTAAATGGGGTGGGCGGGGGGGGGTCCGCATATGGGGGAATAGGGAGTGTATGGTTTGCTCTTCAAAAGCCTTCCAATGACACAGCAGACGCCGAATCCTATCGGGACATGAAAAAGAGTGACAAACGAGAAAATCAGCAAGGTGTCCCTTCTTGTTTTTTTGGTCTGGCGGCTTGTTGCACGTACCTGTTGAGCGCCGGCTACATCGATACACGTAGCGCTGCGGGCAAGAGGCTAGAAACTATCGTGTTTGGTACAGCAGTCAACGGGTCATTATATGTAGGTACAGCAGACATGGGCCACCAGGCCGGTTCACTCCCCGCCTTGTAGCGGGCACCCACCATATTCAACGCATCGGAGGGCTTCGTTATTCCATATACTGCTGCATATGTATGGCGGGCGCCGGCCCTGTTGAAAGCATCAAACCACCTTGTCCCACCTGTTCCGACAAGAGATTTCACCCGCAGATGTAGGGCCCAGGCGTTCTACCGTAAATGACACAAGATAACACACCCCCTGGACCGATTTTTCAAACACCGATTTATCAACAACAGAAAGAGTCACGGCGTCGAAAACGGCGGCGTTGGAATCGTCTCGTCGAGAGCTTTCCAAAAACGTATCGTGTCGTTTTTGCATCCTCTTCGTCGTGGAGTAATCGAGCTTTGAAAATTGGTCCAGGGGGTGTGTTATCTTGTGTCATATACGGTATAGAGGGACCCCAACTGCTGCACACAGTGGCAAAAGGGTGCTGACGCTCATGTCTTGTACGCCCGAAAGGAAAGGGATAGGATGCACGAAGGCCCCTGCCGTTGGGTGGGCTGAATACCCAAGCCGCTGGTATGGTGCTGTTCACACGCACCCCCCCGGGGAACAAGACGAAGGAGAGCAGACTCATCCCAGCCGCATCGTCTGTGCATGCTGCTCTTGTGAAGCCCACAACCAAAGAAGAGCACTACAATGAGTTCCCCGCCGCCGCCGCCGCCACTGCTGCTGCTGCTGCTGCTGCTTCTGCTGCTGCTTCTGCTGCTGCTGCTGCTGCTGTTGCCGCTGCTGCTGCCGTTGCCGCTGCCGCTGCTGCTGCCGTTGCCGTTGCCGCTGCTGCTGCCGCTGCCGTCGCCGCCGCCGCGGTTGTGGCGGGGTGGCCGCTTCAGGTGCGGCGAGTGCGCCGGGTGCGAGTCTGTGGAGTGCGGCGAGTGCAAGTTCTGCCTGGACATGCCGAAGAACGGCGGGCCCGGAAAGATTCGACAGGCAAGCGACGTGGTGATAATGTTGTTGTCGTTGTTGTTGTTGTTGTTGTTGTTTGCTTGTGTCTTGTCCATCTCTCTGCTTATCTGTCTGCTCTCCGATATTCTCTCTCGGCTTCCTTGTGCGACCTCAACACGTTCGTCTTCATTCTGTTCGTTTGCGCGGGTGTCCGTGTGTGCTTTTATTATTAGCATCGACCGCGCTAACCGGCTGACCAATGAAAAGACGTGTGTGTGTGTGTCCCTCCCTCCAAAGGTGTGCATCCAGAAGCGGTGCCACGCGTTGGGTCGTACGCCAGCGAGGGTGAGGTCCCCGCGGTCGGAGCTGGATGAGGACCAGGAGGACGAGCTTTTCCAAAACGAGGAGGTAAATAAGTACTTGGTATTAGTGTACCCTACGACAAACAAGATCATAGTTTTTTTTTTTTTCTCTCTTCCGAAACGAGAAGGTTAAACACTTGGTATTGAGTATACCTTGTGTTTCTTTCAAGTATCCCTTTTCCTTTTGAGTATTTTATTCAATCTGTCGTCCCGTCTACTCTGCTGGACGTCTTGTTTTGTCCGTCGGTCTGTCTGTCTGTCTGTCTCTCTGCATCTCTCTCATCGTCGCTCTCGCTCTCGGCCCACCTTTGTGGGCGTAGAAATATCGCCCCCCGGGAGCGCGCGGAAGGGGCACCTCCTGCGGTCCATCCGTGGCCGCAAGAAAGGCGACAGCACGTTGAGAGAAACAAAGTGTGTTGATACTGACGGATTGGATCCGTCTGTCCACACGCTCACCTCCTCCACCCTTTTTGACCGTTCGTGGGTACTACTAAAAACGATGTCTATATCTTAGGCCGCTTGATAAACTTGAATGGCCCTTTCAAAACCTGACTGGAAAGACTATGACTTCAAGCACATACCGTCAGTAGCTGCGGTGTTAACGGGTAATTGGGTAGTCTTCAAGTGAGTGTATGCATTCTTCCAACCCCCCCACTTTTATGGGGTTGTCCTGTGCCTGTTGGTGGTCGGTTGGTCCGCACTCATTTTTTTTTTTCCCGGCTTACGCTGCTGGGCAGGAGGAGGACGAGGAGGTGGAGGACGAGGAGGAGGAGGACGACGAACAGGCCTCGGGCGGCCTGCGCGACTGTAGGCGAGACATCAACGAAGGTCAGGGGCACGAAGAACAACAGGAAGAGGAGGAGGAAGAGGAGGAGGACGAGGAGGACGAGGAGGACGAGGAGGACGAGGGGGACGAGGAGGAGGAGGAGGAGGAGGAGGAAGAGGAGGAGGA